GAAGCCACCTTAAGACCACGCCTTTTACCCCAGGTTGATACCTTGAAGAAAATTATCAACGTTTTAATAAAATATAACTTTTAGTTAACTTTGAAGCGACCTTAAGACCACGTCTTTTGCCTCAGGGTGATGCCTTGGACAATTTTTGATTTACAACATATCCTCATCCTTAATTGTTTGCAAGTGTGGTAATAATCTATTCAGTGATTCTTTGGAAGATTTTTTAGCACTTAGCACTTCTCGTTTTCTTTACAATAATTGATTATCTACTTTTTTAAGAATTGTAGCCTTATATTTAGTAAAAGGAAAACGGAGCCCTTGGAATTGGCTAAGGATACCCTGTGACAAATTTGACAATAATTGTCCAAGAGCTCGAGGTTCTCATGGATAGTAAAATACCCTAAACTGTTTTCACAAACCGCACAAATGGTCATAGCATTAGCTCTTTGAGTCTTTGACAGAGAAGATCTAATATGATTGATTGCATACTGTTTAACGTCCCTCTCGAAAAATTTTCACTCATATGGAGATGCGACAAGATCTTATAAAGACAAATTGATAATATTTCAAATGAACATACACTGAAACAAATATATTGCTACCAATGCTTACCAGTAATTGAGATGATTTAGAATTTTTTTTTTTTTTTACAAATTTCAAGGTTCTATCAAAGGGAAGACTTAATGATGATTTCTACTCAAGTTTTATTCTAGATTGATTATCAAAATTATTTGCAGGTAATAAAAAAAACCCAAACATTTTATTGCTGAATACATATTATAAATCCTCGATATAAATATTTAAATTCACAATTTGCTAAGTTAATATGCACCTGCATATTATATTCATATCTACAATTCTTGTAATCTAAAAGACTATTCCATTATCAACCACATTTGAATATGTATTGCAACTGATTTTTATCACGAATCAGCAAACTTTAGACAAAAAAATAAATGATACAAAGATATTTACAGAATTGTCTAAGGTCAATATTATACAAATTCTGAAGGCGATACTATGACTTTTTCAGCAAAAATATAATACATTAATATTATAAAGTTGAATGTGGACAGTCAAGGACCTTAAAGGTCACCAGACTATAATGTAACGGTCAGTATATTCAAAGAAAATAAGCGAATAAATAAACTTTTGTGGCCCAAAAGCAATAGGATAATCATGGATCATCAACAAATCTTAAATGGATCCATTTAATTGCTTGTAATTTCCCTCATTTTCATAATATTCATGCAAACAAAACAAAACAAGGGTTCTGCAGCACTGTTATTAAACACATTTTTTCCCTCTCTTAGTCTTTTAGGATTATCTATTGCACAAAGATTTGGCATTTTTCTCAATTTTTCATTTACAGTGCAGGGAAATAATTTTGTTACAGCATCAATGCTGATTTTGGTGCTTCCTATGCTTGCTGATTTTGATGCTTCCTTTGCTTGCTGATTTTGATGCTAGTTATCCTTATCCTGATCCTGGTTTGATCCTTATCCTGATGCTGGTTTGAAACTAGGTCAATGCTAGTAATGGTACCGGACGTAGGATTATCCTGCCGGAAGTGGATAATTCAGAAACAGCATCGCTATTTTAAGCCATTAAAACTAATATTTTTGGGGTAATTTTAATTTGTAATTTGTATTAAATGACTTTCCTTTATCTGTTTTCACTTTGGTCAATGCTAGTTCTATCCTTTGCTTGCTGATGCTGATCCAAGTAATGCTGTTTTTTTAAATGCTGATGCTGATGCTAGTTCTATCCTGATCCTACTTATGCTGATCCTGATGCTGGTTTATGTAACAAAATTAGTTCCTTGCACTGTATCTACTATTAAAAAGTTGAAATAACTATTAATCCCCTTCCCTACAGTCACGCATTTTAACGCAAATACCATTTCCTAATTGTAAGGCAAAATCACGGATACATTGTTTCTCCGCTATCATGCATTTTTCACGCACTGTAAGGACATTGGCAACGTTTCTGGTTTTCGTATAGGATTTTTTCAAGATTTTTTGAACAGGTTTAATGGTACCAAACATATTCAATTCAAGTCCTTTTTATCCATCAAGCCAGCCTTCCTTTATAGATTTTGCCAAATCAATGTTTTTACAATTTTCAATGCATTTCCTATGTAAAATGTTGATAAAATGGCCCTATATTATTTTCAACCATACGTTTTCTCCAAAACCCATGTATTTCATAAGGTTTATACATTAAATACATTGTTGAAACCTTATTTCCGATGACATGCATATACTTCGGCTGAAAATGAAAATATTGAAACAAAACACAGAAATACTAGCACTGTTTTTAATTTTGAGTTACTTCCCTTCACTTCTAATCAATATTCATTATGATCAAGAGACTGGTTGTTTGTTTCTATTCTATAATTCACTTTATTGGAAGCGAACTGTCATAAAACATTTTAAGAAGGATTTATAGTAACTTTTAATGGTGTCTCATTCACATAACCTATAGAATCGTTCTCAATTCGGTCTACCTGGCTATCACCACTTTCAGCAAAATTAATTCACATCTTTGCACTTCCCAGCATTCATGTTCCTATTCTAAATGACGGCCTGTTGACTGTCTGCCCCCTCAGCACAATGTAAACAAACCCACCTCTGCTTTTCTTTTATTACTGTAGAGTTGAATATATTCCATAAAAAACACACGTGCTTTTGTTTACTTCTCAGTCTGTAACCTATGCTTTATTGGTTTTCAGCGCCTAGAGAATTCCATACGGGAGATCACTCTCAATGACTTTTTTTCACAAGTGAGAAAACCTATGTATAAACCTTTTTTCTTCGGAAACCCTGCGTTGCCAATGACCTTAATTAAAAGTACATTTAATCTTCAATTTAAAGCACATTTCCTTCTATTTTATGCTTGCTAAAATCTCATAAAATAAGTTATTTTCTTATTTAAATTTAACATCATAATATACTCACCGTCAATGAAAACGCAACACTCAAATTTTAGGGTGAAAATTATATACGGGATATAACTATGTGCCAAACAAGTTAGGACATCTTTTACTTTGCCAAATCAGTTATTTAATGGTTGAATGGTTTTCATTCCATTACCGAAAGTTGATTTTTTTGCCCTCTAAACAGATAACATTTAAATGAAACACCCCCCCCCCTTCCGACCATTTCATCAAAACATGCTAATCCGCCATGTACAACATACATTTACGCAGTCCGATTTCTACCATGCATTAGGTTTATCAATGTCTTTATCTGAGCGAAATAAATATTCTTGGGCATTTTTAACTGCCTGTTGTTCAGATACTGCGGTCGAATTTTCTCTAACTTGACGTAGTGTAGTAACTCTTGGACTTCCGGTCATGAAGCTGTTATTTATGCTATTGAAAAACATGAGCCTGATGAGTCGTTAAATAGTGTACATTTGCAGTTCTTTTTTCCTTTATTTTGAGAATCTCCAGCATTAGCAATGAAAATCAGTCATTTTGAGGAAATCATGGAAATATAGGCATCACATCCGGTAAAGAAAGAAGGATTTTTTACCGGGATTTTAGTTCAATACTTATGATAAACAGCTACAAAACCTTGAAAACCCAAAATATTGTTAAAATTTTTACAAAAAATCTCAAATTTGATTTCTGTGAAGAAGGCTAAAAAGCAACTTCCGGTAGAGAAGGATATGGAAATAACGAACAGTATTCAATCTCAACGTCCATTAAACAAATATACAAAATAAGAGCAGAGCAAACACAAGAAATTCATTCAACCGTTAAATAACTTATTTGGCAAAGTAAAAGATGTCCTAACTTGTTTGGCACATAGTTATATCCCGTATATAATTTTTCACCCTAAAATTAGAGTGTTGCGTTTTCATTGACGGTGAGTATATTATTTACTCTGAACTTAAGAGAAACTTGTACCGCGCTTTAAGGTGCTTGCGGGGAAATGGTAACTTCACATTTCTATAATGTGAACTCTAAGTTTATGCTGCATAAAAGTTCAGTAAGTTGTAAAAAACTAAAACTATATGTAAAACAATGTACTGTATACAGGGTTATTTTCGCCCTTTCACATTTGCAACAACTTTGTCCCTTTTGAATTCGGCCAGAAAAAAAATTTTGTTTAAGATAGCCCACTTCCGACATGGGTGAAAGAGGTGAAAATTTCCCTGTATACAGTATTGAATATTATTTAGTTTCCTGCATAATTCTATTATTCAGTTGATTGATTGATTGACTGATCCTTTTAATAAAATTTTTAGAGTGATTAATTTATAACTATTTTAATAAAATAAGAAACGCGAATGAGTTTTCATTAGTTCCCTCAACAGGTGGCACGGTTCAATGTCATAAAAGCCATATATAATTCAGGTTCCTTAGGAAGGTACTTGATAGAAAGTACAATTATTTTAATTTGTACCAAATCAGTAAACGTTTCATTTTCTCAATCAATACTGAATGCCTGTAAACAGTTGTTGGTGAATCTTTAAGGGCATATTCTTTCCCAATAGAGACGAAGCCGCTGTCTTGTAAAACTGTTTTTTCATCACTTTTGAAGATAATACTCCTGAAATGATATTTCATATATCGCGTTACACGGGAGATAAAAATGTCAACAGGAACATATTTAGAACATCAAATATGTAGCAGAGGATAGAAAAAGCAGTGTATAATAACACCTATTTACAGGAGATCATTATTTCCATTGCATCCATTTATTCAAGAGTCAGTCTCCATTTGCAAGACTGCATATATATACACTCAATATCATGCACTTACCATTTTCTTAACAAAAAGCATTACTAAATTATCTTTTCAGATGGAATATTAATCAGTCCCATCACAAGAAAAGAAATATAACTGTGGAATACTATTCCAATTGTTATTCAAAAAAATCCGTAGAATAACTTGTTTGGTTTGGCTATAAAAGCACAATCCTTGAGTTCTGAAAGTTTAAAAAATGATATGTTTTCAAATGAACTGACAAAAGGCACACCTTCTTCATTTAAACATTCGAAGCATGCTTGCTTTCAGCCTTCAATACTGCTGCTTTAATTTCTTGCACATCTGTCATAATTGCTTTCACCATTTCATGCTGGCTTTCCATTTTGACCTTTTCTATAATAGTATTCTCATCTTCTTTCCTTAAGGTCAGTTTTTGAATATTATTAAGATCATCCAAATACTTCTTTCCAGTGGTGATTTCCAATCTTTTGCAGATATCTGACATCATTGACCAGGTGTCATCGAATTCTGTCTGAGATGTGGAAGCAGAACACACATGTGCAGTCAGACCGTTTCGGATTGACCTAATTCTCTCTATATCATCACCTACGGTCACATCTCCTACTGCGGGTTCTTCTCCCCATTTTCCTTTTGTTGGTTTAGCAATCTTTTTGCGAATGTTTCTGATCAATGTGTATGTTAAAGAGATATCAAAATTCTTATATCCCGAATGTTTAGCATCCTGCAAGAGATGCTCTTGTTCTGGGCGCAATCTTTTATAAACAGGTGATGCTTTGACTTTTTTCTCAATGTCGGAATGTGACACTTCCATCTCCAGTATATCTCTGTATGCCTGATTTAACACATCGTTCGTTGCCATTCCAAGTTTTGCAAATCTTGATCGGTCCCCTAGGTCTTGTCCAGAGGCCACTGGAGTTGTAGAAGCGCTTGCCTTCATCTGAAAATTTTTTTTCCTCATACAGGGAAAAGTTTTATATAACAAATGCACAAAGTGTTTTATCCAAGAAAAACATATGATATGACAACAAGCAATTTTCTAACGGCCTAGATAGTTTTATTTTTTAACCTAAAATAGACATGTGTTGGTCGTTTTAAACTGGACTTTTATTTCATGTACCTTAAAATACATTTGATATGTCATGTCTCTGTATATCTTGTATATTATGTTAATCTATATTTAAGAACTTTGAAGCGAAACATTGGTATATACTCATAATTTTTTTCGACATTATTTTAAAACTATGAATGTGATAATTTCCTCTCAAAGATCATATCTTTTAAAAGTTTTTTATGTTTTAAGAGAAATATCAGACTTATTTAAAAGACAACATTTCACACTACCTGTTTCCAGTATTTGGTGATTTCTGTCGTGTCAATAATGTGCTTTTTCTCCACAGGACAGAAAGGGCACAGAAGAGTCGGCTCCGTTAGCTCGGATTCCTTGATCACATGACTTCTTTCACTGTCACAAAAGCCGATTGGTCTGCATTTAAAGCCAATTTTGAATTTCAAATTTCTTTGAAATGTAGTGGACAGAGTATGCAATTCACTCTCAACCTTCTCCCTTATCTTCAAACATGTGGATATTTCTACTTCTCCCTCAATTACGTACACCTGCAACTGAATTTCTGATTGAGTCATTCCAAGCAGAATGCAGTGTATCTCAAACAGAAACACGGCTGCTGTCTGGTAAATGCATGGATTTTCTTTTTCCATTCTTATTTTCTTTGACAACACTGGAAACTGCATGCAACTTGCTACAAGACGCTGAAAAATACCAGCTGGAAGAACATCAAACATGTAGCAGAGGATGGAGGAGGCAGGGTATAATGAAAAGCATTTTGCAGGAAATGGTCTCTTGTTCATACAGGGTACATACCATTTGTTATCTTCCATTTTAGCCAGGAGTCCTAGTTTTTCCATATAGAGCATGATTTTTTCTTTGTGTTCAAGGTATCCATTGTTTGACATTCCCCATATAGCAGACAGCAAAGAGTCACTCAATTCTCCAGTTTCACTGAATTTCAACCATTCTGATGCAAGTTGATATATATCTTCCTCTGCGTGTTTTTCATCAGTTATTACATTTTTGAATGCATCTGCAAACCACTGAACATCAAGAATAATTATTTCACCCAGAATTCCTTGGTCAAAATGCAAAATTTCTCTGACGTCATGAAAAAACTGCAGCATGGTGTTAATATCTTCGACATTCTCCAATTTTATGTTCTGTGGTAATGTTTTGTTAAAGGCAAGCAGCTTTTCTTTATCGATTATTTTAAGCGTTTTCGTCTCCTGAAAGAATTTTTCAAACATTGCCCATGAGCATGGAAGCTTCTCACCCCAGTGATCAAGATTTTGAACAACATCAACAATTGATGTTTTGATTTTTTTAATGCATTCACTGTCATGGAACCCTACAGCAAACTTCCTTCTTGTACCAAGATGACCTTGTAGGGATCTGTCCTCTGTCTCCAAAGTTTTCCATATTTCAAAGAAAAACTCTTTTTCTTCCTTGCAAAAATATATAACTAAATTAAAAATATTTGATCACAAAACCACTATAAAATCATAAAACTGTTGCCTTTATATTTAAAGAGATGGACCTAATGGAATCAATGCTAATAATTTAACATGTGTGGCAAGTGGATTACCTTACATGCATAACCTCTCCAGTTAATTATCAAATCATTTCATGTTCAACATTTCGATGTTTTCTTTGCATTTTTAATTGCATTTTAACAAAAATTCCCGGTAAGATCTCAGACACCTGTTCTGTTTTTTCTTCAGCATGAGTAGCAATCAGTATAATAGGAGCTTTTTCACTGCTGTACTGGTGAATGGACTTGGCCCAGAATGTTAGATAATCTGATAAAAATATCAACATTCATGACTACTTATTAAATTAAAATTGTCTTCATTTATTTCTTATAATTGAATAGTTTGCCTTTAAGATTATAATTTTGCTTTTAACTTGCCTTATTCTGCACTAGATAACCAATATGCAATTTCATTTTACAGTAACATACCTCTGTGTGTCCATCCTTCATAGATGGAGCCTTTCGTACAACATACTTCTTCTCCAACCTCATCATCAAACTTCTCCATATTCAGCACCAGAATGAAGAAAGCACGTGGACTCAGAAAAATCTGGTGTGAGGCATAATATGAACACTGTCCTGCAAAGTCCGTCATGGTAATTTTTTTCTCGGGATCATCTGAAATATCTTTAGAAACTCGTAAAACTCCTGATATATCTGATTCCTTAGAGACATCTTGTCTGTTTTGAACTGTTTCCTCTTCTTTTTCCACAAAGGCAGAAGCTTCACTTCCTTTACGTGATTCGGATTCTGTTTTCAAGCCCTCGTGTTTAATTTCTTCATCACTGACCGATTCTTTATCGCTAGCTTTATCGGTTGTCACATTTTGATACCCTTTCTTTTCAATGTTCAGCTTTTTCGTATCACCAGATAATTCGGCTGGCTGTTCTAGAATAGTCTTTTGTTTACTTGATTCCTCAATTTTAACTTTAAAGCGTTGTTTTTGGTTTGATGAGTTTACTGCATTAAAGTCAAATAAATAAATTTTAAATGTAAAATCATTATTCTAATTCTTTTCCCCTTTGGAACATAAGTAGCTCGATGAATGCATGTTATTCCATAATGTACTGAACTAGTCAGTCCAATAGGTCTCAATGCTCATTCTCTCTCTCTCTCTCTCTCTCTCTCTCTCTCTCTGACATGTAACAACCCCAATATTATACATAATTTAACTATTGGGATAAATTAGCTTTAGTGGCATTGAGTGGCATTTACAAGGCCATTATTCAGATCAATGTATAATCTTTGTCAAGAATGAACATTCATTTTTTTTTACTTTGCAGGGGGGTATGTAGGGGTCCACAAATATGTACACACATTTTTTTTTTCATTTTTTGACGTGTCCCTTCTTGAAACTCGGCGTTATTAAATATTGTTCAATACTATTAAATTTGTTATGCCATAAATAATCTTCAAATCAATTTTGATCTCAATATTCAACTATTTCTATTTTCTAATATAATTTAGACAATTTTTTTCTGCAGTGTAAGTGTTGGTTTGCCGAATAATGTGTTCCAAAATTAAGCCACACTATTCTATATATTCTTTGTTACAAGTACGGAATAGTTAGCTAGTATTATCCTATAAAAATTACAACATGGACACAAACAGAAGACTGAAGAACAAGATATTGTCTCCCCCTCTTTCAAATAGAGTAACATCATAATGCTAAAAAGTCATTCTTTTATAGTTTTCTTGATTGTGACACATATTATTTTTATCTTATGAAAATCATACCCTTAATTGTATTTCCAGTTACATCAAATATGTCAGTCTGCACATCAATTCCTCTGGTTGACTTTGAGCTTTCTAGGATTTCTATCAGGTTGGTTCCCTTCAGTCTTTCTAGCAGGGTTGACTTCCCACTACCAGCACACCCAATGATCATTCCGGAGGCGTGGTACATGGTCGTCTCTCCTTTCTTCAGGTTATCCATAAAATTCCTCACAGACTCATCTCCTCTCATTATAACCTTTACTGGTATACCAACTATAATGAAAAAAAAACATCTCTGACAAGACTGTAGCTTTGTTACTATTATTAAAGTAAACAAGAACAAATCAAATTTAAATCCGCACTATCCGCAAGATTCATGTAATCTGGTACAGTTGTTCCTAAAAAGTAAAATGTAAAATAAATGTACAGATGCGTGTATATTTAAATAAACCAAGCATTCGTGAAATTTTACTTTAATTCATCTTCTGATTTTTCCATATACAAAATAAGATCATCAGAAATGCATATTTCTTTTGAAATCATTGTTAATAAAATCCCATGCAAGTCAGGTGAGCTTGTTTCATCCCTGCTTCGATTTTTAAAAAAAATCATTCAAGTGTAACGAGCGCACTTGAGTGTATATCGTTACAATAAGACAAGGTATCTGAAAGAAATGTGGCGGAATACGGCTATAGTTGGTATGAAACAAGTCGTACATAGATGTTGCGTTCTTAAGAATTCATGTCAGCTTTAACCTAGGGAAATACGTATTTCTGGCCTTGGAACACTAGAATCTTGCTAATTCCCTCAATGATATACTTTAAGTGTAAATTATTATCTCCCCTTGTAAAAGAATATGACTTTCCACCCAAAGAGCTTTGTGGGAAGTTTGGTTGCAATTAGTCATTTGGTTCTGTATGTAAGAGAAGATGAAAATGATAAAGATTAACAGACTAATGAAAAGATGGAAACTTAATAAAAAAGGTGACAACAAAATCATTTCTCAAAAAAATGGTTTTTCAAATCTTTAAATTAAATAAAATGTTTATAGAAACGTACGCTTGCTATATACTAATTCATGTATTGATAGGTCCATCATCGTTACATGTGTGAACATGTCCTCTCCAAGTCTTTCTATCAGTTGTTCTGTTTGATTTGGCAATAACCAACAGCAAACTTCCTTTTCGGTCTTTTTTCTTAGATAATTTGATGATCTGCAGTATTTTGCAATGTTTTCTTTTTCTGCCCAATCCAGAAATACATTCACAAACTTTCTATTTTCAGCATATCTAAGAAAGCAGTTGTCTCTAAAGAATTCATGAGAAAATTCAATATCTACACTATTCTGTTTCAGTATTGGTTTGTACTTCTTTAAATTTCGAATTTGAAGATTGAACGCCTCCTTAATTGTCCTAAATTTGAACACTTCAGCAGCAGCATTATACTTCTTTATCCACTCTTCATCTTCCAGATTTATCTTGTATGAAGGGCAAAGCAAAAGGCACATCAAAATTGCATCTCTATCTACAAATTAACAATACGTCCAAGCTTAACAAAACTCATCTTACAATGTAGGTAATGATTTTTGGCCAAAGAGAAAGCAAATATTTGCTTGGTTTTAAAATCTTTGACTATACAAGTGGTCCAACCCCCCCCCCCAACCCCCAGACTTGTATTTACACTAACGGAGGATGTTTCAGAATATACAGAATTTAGTTTCCGCAGCCATATAAACAAAATATTGTTTATAGAGCATGTACATATGGTCCAATGATCCCGTGAATTCTCAGCTAACATAAGAAACCGAGAGAGATTACATACGCTCCATTGCACATGTCACCTGTAAATTTGAAACATTGTAATTCATTGCGTAATTAACTTCTCATTCAGTCTAAACTATTAAATGTGTAATTTGAAAAAAATATTTCTGCATTCATTGCTTTAGCTATATAAAGATATGTTATTTTTCTACATATTTGATTACTGCAGACTAAACTGTTTTGAACACTATGAATTATATTATCTAGAGGAATGTAAATATATCTGTTTCTCATTTACCTCCATTTTAAAATACGGACCATCTGATCCTATTTAAAAACATAGGTAATCAGAGATTACAGAGCTCACCTCAACGAATGTTGTCTTTAAGTAAGGCAAATTAAGTCACACAATTAACCAACAAAAAGTGTACATCCAAAAATGCAAAATTTATGCAATTTTGATACTTTGGAATAGACCTAAATAAAAACTTAAAACTAGGTCTTATTCATGAAAATGTAATTAAAATCCAGCATCTGAAGCAAGATTAAGAGTTTTCATCCCTTAATGCATCATTTGTGCAACTTTGGTTTATATAAGCCTTATAGTTTCTTGGTGATAGACCTGCACCCATAACTTTTACGAGGTCTATTATCTGGAAAATGTCTGTCGAATTCAGCATCTGAAGCAAGTCCATTAGTGTGCATCCTAAGATGTATCATCCATGCAAGTTTGTTCAACATAGAGCTCAAAGTTACTTGGAAATGAAACCTGTATAAAAAACTAACATTTTCACTTATCCGGAAAATGTAGGTCAGATTCAGCTTCTGAAGCCAGCCTAGTAGAATGCACCCTTAGATGTACCATCCATGCAAGTTTGGTCATTATAGGGCTCAAAGTTACTTGGAAATGAATCCTGCACCATAAACTTTAACCTGTTTACTCATCCAGAAAATGTAGGTCAGATTCAGCATCCAAAGCAAGTCTGGTAGTATGCATCCTAAGATGTACCATCCAGGCAAGTTTAGTCATTATAGGGTTCATAGTACCTTGGAAATGAAACCTGCACCAAAAATTTTAACCTGTTCACTCAACCGGAAAATGTAGGTCAGATTCAGCATCCGAAGCAAGTCTTGTAATATGCATCCTAAGATGTACCATCCGTGCAAGTTTGGTCATTTTATGTCTCATAGTAACTTGGAAATGAAACCTGCACCAAAAACTTTTACCTGTTCACTCAACCGGAAAATGTAGGTCAGATTCAGTATCCGAGGCAAGACTGGTAGTATGCATCCTAAGATGTACCATCGATGCAAGTTTGGTCATTATATGTCTCATAGAAACTTGGAAATGAAATCTGCATCAAAAACTTTAACCTGTTCACTCAACCGGAAAATGTAGGTTAGATTCAGCATCCAAAGCAAGTCTGGTAGTATGCATCCTAAGTTGTACCATCCATATAAGTTTGGTCAACATAGGGCTTATAGTTACTCGGAAATTAGACCTACACCAAAAACTGCACCAAAAATGTTAACCTGCACCAAAAACATTAACCTGGTCATTCCTTTGCTGAAATTGCAGCATCTGAAACTTTGACTAGTGCAATGAAACACATTAGAGACATCTTCCATGCATGTCTAATCAATATAGGACATAGAAGTACTTAAAAAGAAAACTGCTCCAAAAAACTTAACCTTAACCCGGGACGTCGACACCGACGCCGAGGGTATCACATAAGCTCCCCCCAACTTCGTTGAGGTGAGCTAAAAAGTATCCTAATTGACGATAATAACGAAGATGATAATAATGATATCATAATTATATCAGAATATAATGACGGATAGCGGTAGGCAGGGATGACTTTATAACGGGAAAGATTATAACGGAGGTGCACTGTACATTTCTGCTCAAACTGAAGGTTGCAGGAAATGATCTATTACAAAATGGGTTAGGTTCGTCAAACTCATCTGACCTGAAAGGGATAGGTACTATGAAATTCTCCGTTTTCGTTCCACTTCACCGAAACGTGTTATATATAATAGTTCTTGACTCAGTTGACCAAATTAAAATGTAATTTAGAAATGCTCAACATGAGGTCCATGGGCCAAAGTGCTCATGCGGGTTACTATGGCCCTGTCGGTCTATTTAAGATTTCCCCCTTCTTAAAATGTGATGTCCTTTTGCTGCTCCCCACACACCACCCTCTGGGTAATGATATTAACAATTTGGAATTTACACTACCTCAGGAATACAGCCTCATAATTTCCCCTTTTTTCTGGACACGTGGTTCTGGAGAAGAAGATTTTTAAAGATTTTTCCACATATTTCAATGTAAAACTTCTATTCTATGTTCTGGTCACAGTATATCCCCATGGGCCATGATTTAAAATAAACATTACTCAAAAAAACTTTAACATACGAGGTTTGTGCCAAAAAGTCGTAGACAATGTTAAAAACTTTGTTAAAATACAACAGATACCAACCATATTTTGCTTCGACATAATATATTCAATGTTCTTAAAAAGTGTGAATAATTAAATATATATATTTCATCTTAATAATATTTGGAAGATTTATAAGAAGGCCGATATGTTCTGTCGCATACCTTATGCATATAATAATAATTCCATTTGCTTCTATTTCTTTGGTACTGTGTCAAAAGTTGAACTCAAATTTTAATCAGTGAAAACAGAGTCAAAATCTTAATAGCATGTCAAATTGTCATAAAAGTAGCATTAAAACAAACGATTTGTGTCATGATTTTCAAAGTATTGTTGGAATTGAGTTTGATGAAAATGACGTTGTCAAACGCGTACTAGTAATCGGCGCAGGGGATGTAATAAATTGTTTTGGATATGGCTTATAAACACCAGACATGGGAAAAGAAGAGTACAGAATTGACATTACACATTAGATTCTTAAAAAGAGAAGTTGTTTTTAAATGCTATGAAAAACAATGATTGTTCATCCTCTATACCGAAAATAGTTACCGCATGTACGAAGTACGAAGTAGAGGACTGTTTGCTAAACGCAGACAGTGGGGAACATTCTGGCCAATGAACGACATCAAACAATGTGTTGTTGTTTTTTTTTTTTTTTTTTTTTTTTTTTTTTGCTGTCTACAATTTCATGTGATCTTTCGACTAAATTACGACTAAAATTTTAATCTGCTACAAAATCAACAACATCAACAAAAAAACCGGACAGTAGTGAATATAAATAAGACACTTAGTCAACAGTGGTTTTTTACTTTAAATTTTTTTGGATGTTAACAGACGCATGTGAAGCAGCAAAAGAGATCATGGCGTTATAAAAGACGTAAATTAATTACGTTTGGCTTGCTTTCGTGCGCCGGTGTACACTTACATCCTTTCTTTATTTCTTCATATTTTTTTATTAAATTTGATATCATCATACAACTTGATATTCATGATCAAAAAATGTTACTTTATGCTAATGACATGAAAAAAAATTTAATTTAACAAAGAGAAACTGAACTGCTTTTTCTGGGAAAGTCCTCGTAACTTTAAGCTTAACAGCTTGCCCTGTGACTCTTGAAAAGACTTTTCTATATAATTCGATGTAAAAATTTGATTCCCTATTGTAGGCAATTCAACTACCGCTAGGAGTTGACGTTATGAACGATAAACCATTGCTGAAATTTGTTTATAACAGTTCTGAGGAACCTTACTGTTTTATGCAAATCAGTTTTAAAGAGTTTCCCAAGTGTTTTTTTGCTGTCAGTAAAATCCAATGCTTATAAAATTTAGCACTAATTTACCCTATAGTTGCGGACACCATTTAATTACAAACATGTATAAGTAATTTTTTTACTTGATTTTAAAAGTGAAATCTACCCCCACCCCTTTTTAATTCTAACCTGGTTAAATTTTTATACTCGGTCGACGTCGTTCTTCTTCGTGCTTAGTAACACATATAAGATAATTATTGTTGCATTTACTCGAAGATATATTCATGTATATTTATATAGGAAGCGCAAAAGTGCACACACAAAAAAAAAACACAACTTTTAATTTTCTTCTTCAGGACAATCGACAAAGAGAGTTGGAAATCTTGAATATAGTATGTTCTCCATTCATTTGACCATGTTATTTCGGGTAGAGTGAAGACATTCTCTTTGTTTTGGACAAAACCTTTGTGTACAAAACAATGCAAGGGACCCTTTTGTGTAAATAACAATACGAAGGCTAAAGCGGCCTATTTGTCATTCCTACAAATGATAACCCGTAAATTGGCACTGAGTTGGTCATTTTGCACACTTGAGTTACCTGCAGCTGTCCTTAAAACAGAATTTTGTTCCCATCGATTATAAATAATAAAACTTTTTAATGATTTGATTTAAGTTATGCACAAATTATCATCTTTTTGAATAATTTCATGTACCTATAAATGAATATATGAAATGTTTATTACTATATATATATATACGTGCAACTTGAAAAATTAGTTGAAAAACCTACCTATTGTGGTCCCAACCTACTGTATCCTTGCGGACTATGATTTTATTTGATTTGAACAATTCAGAATTTAAACTACGTCATAACTTTTAGCTTTTTGGACATACGGTTCTTGAGAAGATTTTTTGTTATGACCCCGCCTTGTTTTGCTCTTTTCTTTATTTTCTCATTAGATGGATATTAAGCCCTACATTTTAACAATTTGATTTTCCATGCACCCAAGAATGCTTTGCACAAATTTATCTTAATATTGGTTCTTGAGATGAAATTGGACATGTTAAAAGTTTACAGACCAACGGTCAGAAGGAGGAAAGAAGGAAGACTAACAAGAGTTGATCAGAAAAGCTCACTTAAAGTTTGAGTGCAAGGGAACTGAAATGATCGAAAGATTTTTTTCTAAATTTTGTCTTGTTCTTATTCAAATAAAACAAACCTTTTTTCTTGTGAATTTCACTGAACAATTTTTGAACATCGCAAACATCATGTTTTTTATGATCATCAGAGGTGCTGATGCACATCTGACACAAAGTAACCTCACACGGGACACAGAACTGAGATAATGGACAGCTTGGATGATTCTTGCACTTAAAATCCTCCAGAGGGAGACCTTTCAACAAGAAAAAAAAATATTCACAAGATACATAAAGATATAAACATACCTAATTAACAAAATATGTTGTTACTTACCGGTCAGAGAGTCTCTATCTACCACTCTGTATATGTTGACTGTGTTGTTGTCGTCTGACCCTACCCAAAGTAGTTGTTTGTCATCATCATAACTCAGGCCGCATGGTCTGTCTATGCCGTGTTCTGATGTCTGTATCTGTGACAGGGTGTTACCGTTCCTGTCTACAATTTGTATCGTGTGGGTTCTATAATCACACACCAGGATGTGTGACAGCGCGTCAGTACAGATTCCACGTGGAAATAGTCGTGATCCTGATAAAGGTCATCTGTAGGAAAAGCGGTGTCTACCTCCACGCTCTATAACAACTACAGCATGGAGAAAGTCCGACACAATAACATCTCCATTGTTGTTCTCTGTAATGTAGCTAGGTATATTATATAATCTATGACCTTTGTTGTCGAGCTGTATGGTCTGGATGTTTTCGCCTTCGGAGTTATACCGGACAACCTTGCCTGTATATTGCGTTGTATCAGTATGGCACATCCCGACCAGCAGGTCTCAACTTGAGGGGGAGCTGTAGACACACATTGGTCTCCATGGTGCCATGAACTTTATCAATGTTGTCTTTACTATGTTATCTTTAGACAGTTTGTTGATATTATGGTCTCTGTCTATATAAATTAAATCATCGTCACCATTCACTGTATGAATTCCATCACTATATTGTTTTATATCTGTCAGACGATGCAATTCATCACCCGATGTGTTTGTCAAGATAAGATTGTTAACCCAATCACTGACCCAGGCTCGGTCTGTTGCGACAAGGGAAATGTGACTACCCTGACTGACACCTCTCACTCTGACAGATTTCTGTAACACTAATTTGTACATCATTTACAGCAGACAATCATTTACTTCTTACTCGTCTTTTTCCTGGGGTTTCTTTTCATAAGAGAATCACGTGCTGATTTTATCAAGCCAGTCAGATTTCCTCTGCAAATCACAATAATGTGCATTAAATATATATCTCTATAATAATATCGTGTACAAATATTAGTAGTTTGTTTTTAAGAACGTAATGTATAGCTATAGAACAGAAATAAGACAAAAATAAACATAAATACCTCTACATTGGGTGATGAAAATCTTTTCACTGTCACTATGAATAGCATGTTTCAAGCGTTAATATCGATTACATCTGTTTAAAAAAACAAGTACTTTTAAAATAAAAAAATTATATTATTTAAAATACAAAATATTGGAAGACTATTATAGTTATTATTGATCATTCTACTATAGCATTTCCAAATCAGTGTGTCAATTTGTTAAATACGTGTTATAAAGGATCACTTAGTAACTCTTCAGACCTTATATTGTTTCCACATTAAAAGCATGAGGGGGAAATGAAAAATTAAAAAAGAAAAATAAATACACTCGCGTGCATGTGCGCTTTATGGAACATGTGGAATGATTCATGGGTTTAGGTCCTTGTGCACATCTATAAATTTCGTATTTTAATTTCAGTTTTTCATTTAAAAATTTTGTTTTTCTCCATTTTATAATTTCGTTTTTTTTTTTTAAATTTAATAGTTTCGATTTTCATCATTCAAGAATTTCGTTTTTCTCTCTTTTATAATTTCTTTTTTCTTTCTTTCTTTCTTTTTTTTTTTTTTTTTTTTTTTTTTTTTTTTTTTGTTTTGTTTTTTTTTTGTTTGGACTATTGGGCTTCCGTACACATTTGAGCTGCGCTAAAAGTAAAATTTTGTGAAATTGTGCTACATTCTATGGATAGGAATGATCTACATTGTTTTCTGACAGTTATATAAAGTAAAAAAGAAATGTATACCACACTGATTTCTTGTATCTGGATTAAATGGTATCTATATTACCACATGATCACTACATGTTTTACAGAACAAGTTCGTAAACCATGTACATGTAGCTGTATACTATACCAAGATATAAGCACAACAGTGCTGAAATAAATTTCAAGATATATTGTACTAAATATCGCTGTCGTTCTTTTTTTTTATACAAGAATCAACTTGATCTGATTATATACTTCCTATTCAAGATATTCAATCGCAAACAAATAAAAACACGGCTTGGGTAATTACCTCATTATTAAATACAAACTCTTTTGTACATGTAGCTCCCAAAATAATGATTTTTTTCTTTCTACAGTAAGTATGCCTTCATCTTTCATCCAAAAGTATTGATTATTTTACATCTGTACCACTCGAGTGACTCGGTCTTCTCCGTCATGTCAAGAATGCGGGTGCGAGGACTTTCAGGAAAGCACTGCTTTCGGGAGAGCCTTGATCTGAAAAGAGAAACCCCAACAAAAAAGAGGAAACCTCATGAAAATGAAAGAATTTGGATAAAAAATGTTTATATATAATAGTCGTTATTACCCCATCGTCGCAAACCACGGCCAAAATGTACGCTACTCTCCCATTCTGGCCGTGGTTGAACGAGGAGAGAATTCTTCGTAGCTCATTAAAATATTGACCAATGCGAGTAAAGCATAGTCGGATGATGAACTTTATCGCGACCTTTCAATATCCAATCGCAGTATAGGAAATATTTCTTGTACACTGTTAACGTCAGTTGTTGATTTCGATTGCGATGGAAACAAAACTTGCCACTGACTGAATATGACGTCACAATAGAGAGGCGTGAATATTCAAGATTACGACACTTTTTGTGATCAAGCAGCCACAGATAGGATAGAGCTATATATGCGGACTCCGGACCGTGGCTTGAGACGATGTTATTACCCGAGAATCAGCCGAAGTTGTTTGCCATTACTTGTTGTAGTGGTATACCACGCCCAATCTAAAATCGCGATCAAGTTTTGTTATTAAGAAATGAAACATTTAACTTTTTGGGATATTCAGATATTATATGATGCGTATTTAACAAAAAAAATTGTAAATACGTTTTATGAAACTGAAAGTGAAATATCCCTCTGCTCCAAATTTCATCATTTTTTTTATTCCAAACACGGTGTTTCAATGATAAACAACAATAGCATTAGATTTAAATTGAAAATACGATTAAGTTTGAAGTATGACGCGTTGCTTTAACTTTTTCAGGAATGTCTCATCATGATGTGAGGAAAAATTTGATATGGTTAATAGAATAATCAATAATTTTTATCTCACAATAAAATTGAAAATATGAGGTATATATAATATATATATTAAAATCTTTTTTCTATTATACCTATCTACTTTTTATTAGAAAACATAATAAAGCGTTGCTTTTAAAATCAGATTATCATATTGTTTTCTGTGCTTGTAGAATAATCTGCATCCATCAACAAGAGTTATCTTTTACATAATCGCCCTTGAAAATATTCTTAAGTGAAACGAAATATTAGTAAAATGAAAATAAACAATGCTGCCTATTACATTTCTGTAACAATTAAAAGGAATATACTTTAAGAGATGGAAATATCTCAATTTAAACATTTTAAAGGATCTGTGTTTTAATGTTTAAGGTAAACTATTGTGAATAATGAATGACAACATTGGCAATGGAAACTAAAAATAAACATCTATGCAAAAAATTAGTCTCGATAGAGTTGACTATAAAATGGTTCCTTGTGCGTAAACTCTGTATATTCTGACGCATTCTCATGACAGGATGGTATCTCTCTTATCAGAGAGATATTACACCTGATGGTTTGTTTTTATTTCAAATTTTCTATTGTCAATTTCTCTAAAATATTATATACAGTGGACCTTCAGATATCCGGACGCCAGATATCCGGATGCCTCCGTATCCGGACGATTTTTCATCGGAACGAAATTTTCAAATGTTATTTTGTCTTGTTTAACTGGTGATTCAGATATCCGGATGCTTCACATATCCGGACAGATTGACTGGGAACCAAAGCGTCCGGATAAATGAGGGTTCAGTGTACAAAAGGCACCTGAGTATCATGTAACACCTTTCCAACGATGAATTTGGTTAATGTTTTAAGATGCACCATTACTAATCGCAACTGTAACTAAACATGCTGACTTTAATTGATCATACGTATCACCCTGAGACAGATACGAGAAACATAGGAAAAATGCAATTCCACTAAATGACCCAGGAGCCATGGAATTGGCATTTCTGAAAGAATCCCTCATCCTTCCTCATCATAACTACGTACATAGTTTAATGGTTTAATACCCAGGAGCAGAGAATATTTTTTAAAGAATCAATGTATTTTCATTATATAATTAATAGAACCCCATCCTAACACCAAAACCCCTTACCGAGGCGCCATGAAATTCACAAATTTGGTTGAGACACTCTTGCTCATTATAACTATAATATACTAAGTTAGTTTTTTTTAAATACCAAGGAGCCAAGGAATTTTTGAATAATCAATGCATTTTCACTGTATAATCAATAGTGACCTGACCAAACACCAGAACCAAACATCATAATTTTTAAAGATACCCTCTTCTTAATTATAACTATGTACTTAGTTAGTTTTTTTAATACCCAGGAGCACAGGAGAAGATTTTCAAAGAATTAAAACAATTAAGGCCAAACATGTGCGATAATATTTTAATATAAACCATTATTGAGTAAATATACAAAAATTAAAACAATGCATACTATTTAATAAATAGTATGCAATGAGTTTACTCAGGTGACGTACGTGTAATAAAAACAATCTATTCTGACTTCGATTTTCAATACGAATATTTTTGTTATACAATAAGCATACTAGTACTATCTTGAACCATTCATTTTGATAATAAAGTGCCGCGCCACAGCATGATACGCCCGTCAAAAAAATTACAATTTTCTTGAACAGTTTAGGTGCAAGAAAATCACCTCAACCTTGATTCTAAGATTTCGATGATTTTTCCATTCCTTAAAATATTTATCCATCCCCTGTGATGTAGGCATCAATTATAATAAATTATTACATCACTGATAGATTTCTGTGCTGGTTGTGTTAGACCTTGTCAAATGCCCATCATCAAATTAGTCTTAACAACTTAATCTATACCAAATTAATTTTGAAAGGAAAAGGCTGGCCATCAAATGACATGTTATAAACTGACCAGCAGTTCTTCTGTCTAATCCCCAAAGGGTGCTTAATCAGAGCGACTGAGACAGCTAGCCTTCCTACACTGAACTCATTAATTAATCTTTAACTGGATGCTTGTCTACTCATTACTACCAAGAGATGAATGGGTCTGCACTATCTACTATAATTTTTTTTAAAAAACATATACTCAAAGATTTTTTGGGGGGATTAGATTTAATTTCCGACAGGTTTTAATATGTAATTCATATGGACATGCTGATTCCACCCCACCCCATAAAATTAGTTTTTAAATTAATAATATGCATAATATCAGATTAGTCTATCATGCAATATCAAATTAGTTAATTTAATTACTTTTCATCAAATTCATTTTAAAACTTAAGCTAGTCAACAAGAGCTATAGTCTATTTTTAATCAAACAGGCTTACCCATTTGCCCAATACTCAAGGGATATAGATAACACCAATGCTCTGTCAGTTAGCTCCTTGCACTCAAAACCCATTAATTTCTCTCTAATTTGACATGCAATTTTCTGTTATCAAAATTCTTCTTGACCAGTGCTTGATAATTACACTCATGGGAGAGGTAGGATTTCTCTAACATACATTATATTTGTTATAGACTGCTGTCAAGTATATGCTTTAAAAAAAAATATGTATTTTCTTGATTTAACAATTTTTTAATAAGGACAGTGCAATACTCTTACATTATTTGGGATGTGTAAATGAATAGTAAAAAGACACATTTTTTTTTAATTTCACTTAAATTAAAGGTCACAGTGACCTTGAAATAGGTCGCGACACACCTTCTACCTAAGATGCATAAC